ATTAGCATGCTTTGTCCAATCACTATTTTCAATTAAAATGTCTAATTTTCTTTGTAGTTTGTTTTTGAGTTCATTACAAATTCTTCTGAGTTTATTATAGCAATGATCCAACATACTGTGTTTCCATTCTGATGGAATGGCCTGATACACTTAATAACAATAAAAATTTGCGCCTTACTAAAGCAGACAAAATAAATGCAATAGTAATTATGAAAGAAAATGATTACCAAGAAAAAATGAATAATCTCTTAGATGATACTGAAACCTATTCGAAACTTAGGAAAAATCCCCTAGAAACCGTTAACAGCAATTTCAATAAAACAATAAAACTTCTACTGAAAGGCAAAGATGAATTAGTCAAACAATTTACTTCCACTAATCCATCTTTACCTTACATGTATGGACTAATAAAAACACACAAACCGGGGAATCCAGTCAGACCAATTATTAGCTCCATAGGGTCAGTTTCATATAAATTATCCAAATGGCTTGTTGATATTTTGAGCCCTATTGTTGGCAAAATTTCTAACTTTAATGTTAAAAACAACATAGACTTAGTTGATAAATTAAGCTCCTAGACAGACTTAAATAATTTTAACTTGGTTAGTTTTGATGTTACTTCCTTGTTTACGAAAGTTCCTGTTGATGATTTATTAAGTTTCTTATTTGAAGAACTCGTTAACTATGATTTATCATTGTCATTTGCTATCATTAAACTTATTAAACTTTGCATTGTTGATGCAAAATTTGTATTTAATGATAAGTTTTACACTCAGAAGTTTGGTATGGCAATGGGAAATCCTCTTTCACGCGTTCTTAGTAACCTATACATGGAATTTTTTGAAACAAGGTTGCTTAACACAATCCTCCCTAATAGAGCTAAATGGTTCAGATATGTTGATGATATTTTGTGTCTTATGCCCAAAAATGTAGATATACACCATTTCCTTGGAAAATTAAATAGCTTAGCCCATTCTATAAACTTTACTGTTGAGTTTGAAGAAAATAACTCATTGAATTTTCTAGATGTTTTAATTATTAAGGGTAATGATGAATTCAAATTTAAAATTTACAGAAAACCTACAAATAACTGTTCCTATGTCCACTATTATTCTTCGCATCAAGATAGAGTCAAACTGTCTGTTTTCTCATCAATGTTTTTGAGAGCTTTACCAATTTGTAGTCCTGAGTTCATAGGTGAGGAAATATCCAAAATTTATGAAATAGGTAATGATTTAAAATACCTAAGAAATGTAATTGATAAATCTTTTAAAGTTGCTAGAAATACTTTTTACAATCAAAAAGGGACAACCAGCCTTATTCAACTAAAAATATGTTGGTTCTCCCTTACCATGAAAACTTGGTTGATATGCCTTCTCTTCTTAAGACTTTTAATAGTAAAGTTGTATTCAAAAATCTTGATACAGTAAAAAAAACTTTTGGTAAAGAATTCCCCCCAAAATGCTGATGGATGTGTCTATAAGATTCCTTGTAAAATTTGCGATAAAGTTTATTACGGTCAAACTGGTAAAAATCTCGAACTAAGATTAAAACAACATAAATATAGCATTAGAACTGCACAAGATTCCAATGCTCTATTTATTCATGTAAGAGATTTTAACCATCCAATTGATTTTCAAAAAGTTGAGAAAGTAGTATCAAGCAAGTCCATGGTCGACAGGAATGTAATTGAATCTTGTTTCATAAAAAGCAGTTTTTGACAATAATATGAATATTTCCTTTGGTTTATATAAATTAGATCCATTTATAATAATAGAATTTGGGAAGAATTTAATAATACACTGGACAAATAATAATTTTAAAAATTTTCTTGGGTAGAATAGTTTGTTGGTGGTTGTGCAAAGGACCTGTCCAGTTGGGCCGGCGCGCGTCAGGTGTTTAACCGTTGTGGGATATGATAGTGAGGTGTTGGCCAGACCCCCATTATATACCTTGCTTGGATGCTTACTTTCATAGTTCCTTGATAATGTGAGTAGTCACGAAAGCACTTGGAATTTCTCTATTCTTTCAGAGTGGTTGTTTTGCATATTCTGAAATCACCTGTTTACTGTGATCTTATTGCATATATATATATATATATATAATATATATATATATATTATATATATATATATATATATATATATATATATATATATATATATATAATATATATATATGTCGTGCCGAATATGTAAAATTGGTCAATTAGCAAGAACTCGTTTAAAATTAAGTCCTTTCTAAAATTTTCTCTTATACGTTTACAGATATATTTTTTTCATTAATGTTGATGTAAAAATTTATAATTTGCACCAAAGGAACTTAGAAAACTTACCTAACCTTATTATAAGAAGAACAATTTATTTTAGCCTAACCCAGCTAAATATATTTTAGATTTGTTTACAATAATTTAATACTAAACAAACACAGTGAAATATATTTTTTTCGTTAGGTTAAAAATGATTTGGCGAAATTATTGCATACCACAAATTTTCACTTGTCCTATATGGCAAGATGAACGTTGCTATTTAAGCCAAGATCGCAAGTTCTGCCTATTCGGCACGACATATATATATATATATATATATATGTATATATATATATATATATATGTGTGTATGTATATATATATATATATATATATATATATATATATATATAATATATATTATATATATATATTATATATATGTATATATATATATATACATATATATATATATATATATATATATATATATATATATATATATATATATATATATATAATATAATATATATATATATATGTATATGTGTGTGTGTGTAGTGGTGTACTCACCTAGTTGAGGTAGCAGGGTCGAGTCCGAGCTCCTGGCCCCGCCTCTTCACTGGTCGTTACTAGGTCACTCCCCCTGAACCGTGAGCTTTATCATACCTCTGCTTAAAGCTATTATGGATCCTGCCTCCACTACATCGCTTCCAAACTATTCCACTTCCTGACTACTCTGTGGCTGAAGAAATACTTCCTAACATCCCTGTGATTCATCTGTGTCTTCAACTTCCAACTGTGTCCCCTTGTTACTCTGTCCAATCTCTGGAACATCCTGTCTTTGTTCACCTTGTCGATTCCTCTCAGTATTTTGTATGTCGTTATCATTTCCCCCCTATATCTCCTGTCCTCCAGTGTCGTCAGGTTGATTTCCCTTAACCTCTCCTCGTCGGACATACCTCTTAGCTCTGGGACTAGTCTTGTTGCCAACCTTTGCACTTTCTCTAGTTTCTTTACGTGCTTGGCTAGGTGTGGGTTCCAAACTGGTGCCGCATACTCCAAAATGGGCCTAACGTACACGGTGTACAGAGTCCTGAACGATTCCTTATTAAGATGTCGGAATGCTGTTCTGAGGTTTGCCAGGCGCCCATATGCTGCAGCCGTTATTTGGTTGATGTGCGCTTCAGGAGATGTGCCTCGTGTTATACTTACCCCAAGATCTTTTTCCTTGAGTGAGGTTTGTAGTCTCTGGCCCCCTAGACTGTTCTCCGTCTGCGGTCTTTTTTGCCCTTCCCAATCTTCATGACTTTGCACTTGGTGGGATTGAACTCCAGGAGCCAATCGCTGGACCAGGTCTGCAGCTTGTCCAGATCCCTTTGTAGTTCTGCCTGGTCTTCGATCGAGTGAATTCTCATCAACTTCACGTCATCTGCAAACAGGGACACTTCGGAGTCTATTCCTTCCGCCATGTCGTTCACAAATACTAGAAACAGCACTGGTTCTAGGACTGAACCCTGTGGGACCCCGCTGGTCACAGGTGCCCACTCTGACACCTCGCCCCGTACCATGACTCGCTGCTGTCTTCCTGACAAGTATTCCCTGATCCATTGTAATACCTTCCCTGTTATCCCTGCTTGGTCCTCCAGTTTTTGCACTAATCTCTTGTGTGGAACTGTGTCAAACGCCTTCTTGCAGTCCAAGAATATACAATCCACCCACCCCTCTCTCTCTTGTCTTACTGCTGTGACCATGTCATAGAACTCCACTAGGTTTGTGACACAAGATTTCCCGTCCCTGAAACCATGTTGGCTGCTGTTGATGAGATCATTCCTTTCTAGGTGTGTGTGTGTGTGTGTGTGTGTGTGTGTGTGTGTGTGTGTGTGTTTGTATCATATATAGGAAAAGCTGCCCAATTAGCAAGAAATCATTTAAAATTAAATCCTTTTAAAAATTTCTCTTATTCGTTTGAAGATATATTTTTCATTTATGTTAATGTAAAAATTAGTAATTTTGTACCAGAAGAACCTTAGGAAACTTACCTAATTTTATTATAACAAGAGCAATTTAATTTAGACTAATCAACTAAATATATTTTAGATTAGTTTACAATAATTTAATAATAAACAAACACAATGAAATATATTTTTTTCGTTAGGTTCAGAATGATTTTTACGAAATTATTGCATACACAAATTTTCGCTTGCCTTATTCGGCAAGAAGAGCGTCGCCAGTAGGCCTGCTGCACTGCTCCACTGTTTTTATTTTCTTATGTTCTTATGTTCACCAGTGGTCGAGATATTGCCGTTGTCTCTATCCAAGACAGTCTTGTCCAAGTGGAAGACAAGAAGCTCAACAACACAGTAATAGAGAAAAACTTTTATTGTACAACAAGCCTTTGATTCGCAAATTTTCGCTCATGGATGTTTTTCATGTTAGCAAGAAAGCTCATCTTCGGGGGAAAAGTTATGCAATAAGAGTCACGCTGTACATTATGTGTCGTTGTAGTTACCGAGAGACACTTCGCTCCTAGTCGCTAGTAGCGAAGAGGTGAAGGCAGGAGCCATGAATGGTCCTTTGCATACGCATCTAGGTGATTATAGCTGGGTAAGTACACAGTATTAATAAATGTATAGGAAAACGCTGTTATTCAGTGTTTAATCTTGGAAGATAAAAGGAATATGTTGTAGTGGCGAGAGTTTTTTTTTATCATCAATACACATATATGGAAATACACTCTTTCTCTACTCACAGCGTGCGGAGACTTCCTATACCCTTGAAGGCTTCAGGACTGAGGCTTCGCAAGTTAGTGTTGCCCTTCAGGCTCCTGAAAAATAGAAAATATACGATGGTGAGGACATATATTTTTCTTTGGCTTGAAATAACAATTTCTGGCAGTGCAATGCATTGTGAAGACAAAGATGAAAGAACCCAGTTACTCAGTGTTTACCTCTGTGTGAGCTGTATCACCTCAGGACTTGATAAAGCTCTAAATAGAGACATATGTTGTCTCTAATAGCATGTTCTGACACAAGTGGCGAAAAGCCACCACCTCCATGCTTTTGGCGTGCATTAAGAATGGCTTAAAGAAAAGTGGAAAGCTTAGATCCCCGCTTTTCATGTTCATCGTTGAAAAATATATTCACATTTGAATTCTAGTTGCTAGACGTTTTTGTGTATAAATATGCTGTTGTTCTACCGTCCACAGGATGGCAGTGGGAGAGCAAAATAAACTGGCCGCTTCGGTGACAAGATCTAAGAAATCTCCGGAACAGTAACACACACAAGAACAATTTATGAGAAGGTGAAATCACCACAGGTGCCCAGACTGCCTAACAAAAGTGAACTAAAGAGACATGATAACAACATCTATTGTTATAACAGGATTTGAAAGAATAGAATAAGAAGTATTGTTAGTATCGCCAATAAGGATAACAAGAGGCCACAGATGTAAATATATAAGAATAAAGAGACAAGAAGATTCCGGAAGAGTATTCTTTACAAAAAAAAAAAAATGGTCTGGGAAAATAGAGGAGGTAATTCAGCTTGAGGAAAATTTAAAAAATGCACTTGACAAACTTATTATAGAAGATGGTACACCACAACCACAACACTAATCTTGTAGCTACAACAAACAGGTGATTACAGGAAGGTAATTATATACAAGAACCACACCAATTCATACACACACATACACACACAAACACACACACTCACACACACACATACACAACACACACACACACACACACACACACACATACACAACAACACACACACACCACACACACACCACACACACACACACACACAACACACACACACACACCACACACACGCTACAAGAAAGGGGACTACACGGGAATGAGGAACATTCTGAACGGGGTTCAGTGGGACAGAGAACTGGCAGGGAAGCCAGTTAATGAGATGATGGAATATGTAACAACAAAGTGCAAGGAGGCTGAGGAGAGGTTTGTACCCAAGGGTAACAGGAATAATGAAAGACCCAGGATGAGCCCATGGTTCACCCAAATGAGCAGGGAGGCAAAAACCAAGTGTGCTAGGAAATGGAAGAAATATAGAAGGCAAAGGACCCAGGAGAATATGGAGAGCAGTCGTAGAGCCAGAAACGAATATGTACAGATAAGAAGAGAGGCCCAACGACAATATGAAAACGACATAACAGCGAAAGCCAAATCTGACCCGAAACTGTTATGCAGCCACATCAGGTGGAAAACAACAGTCAAGGACCAGGTAATCAGGCTAAGGAAGGAAGGAGGAGAGACAACAAGAAATGACCGTGAAGTATGTGAGGAACTCAACAAGAGATTCAAAGAAGTGATCACAGAGGAAACAGAAGGGGCTCCAGAAAGACGGAGAGGTGGGGCACACCACCAAGTGCTGGATACAGTACACAAAACCGAGGAAGAAGTAAAGAGGCTTCTGAGTGAGCTTGATACCTCAAAGGCAATGGGGCCAGATAACATCTCTCCATGGGTCCTGAGAGAGGGAGCAGAGGCGCTATGTGTACCCCTAACAACAATATTCAATACATCTATCGAAACAGGGAGATTGCCTGAGGCATGGAAGACAGCAAATGTAGTCCCAATCTTTAAAAATGGAGACAGACATGAAGCACTAAACTACAGACCAGTGTCACTGACATGTATAGTATGCAAAGTCATGGAGAAGATTATCAGGAGAAGAGTGGTGGAACACCTAGAAAGGAATGATCTCATCAACAGCAGCCAACATGGTTTCAGGGACGGGAAATCCTGTGTCACAAACCTACTGAAGTTCTATGACATGGTCACAGCAGTAAGACAAGAGAGAGAGGGGTGGGTGGATTGCATTTTCTTGGACTGCAAGAAGGTGTTTGACACAGTTCCACACAAGAGATTAGTGCAAAAACTGGAGGACCAAGCAGGGATAAAAGGGAAGGCCCTACAATGGATCAGGGAATACTTGTCAGGAAGACAGCAGCGAGTCATGATACGTGGCGAGGTGTCAGAGTGGGCACCTTTGACCAGCGGGGTCCCACAGGAGTCAGACCTAGGACCAGTGCTGTTTCTGGTATTTGTGAACGACATGGCGGAAGGAATAGACTCCGAAGTGTCCCTGTTTGCAGATGACGTGAAGTTGATGAGAAGAATTCATTCGATCGAAGACCAGGCAGAACTACAAAGGGATCTGGACAGGCTGCAGACCTGGTCCAGCAATTGGCTCCTGGAGTTCAATCCCACCAAGTGCAAAGTCATGAAGATTGGGGAAGGGCAAAGAAGACCGCAGACGGAGTACAGTCTAGGGGGCCAGAGACTACAAACCTCACTCAAGGAAAAAGATCTTGGGGTGAGTATAACACGAGGCACATCTCCTGAAGCGCACATCAACCAAATAACTGCTGCAGCATATGGGCGCCTAGCAAACCTCAGAAGCATTCCGACATCTTAATAAGGAATCGTTCCGGACCCTGTACACCGTGTACGTTAGGCCCATGTTGGAGTATGCGGCACCAGTTTGGAACCCACACCTAGCCAAGCACGTAAAGAAACTAGAGAAAGTGTAAAGGTTTCCAACAAGACTAGTCCCAGAGCTAAGAGGTATGTCCTACGAGGAGAGGTTAAGGGAAATCAACCTGACGACACTGGAGGATAGAAGAGATAGCGGGGACATGATAACGACATACAAAATGCCGATACGAATTGACGAGGTGGACAAAGACAGGGTGTTCCAGGCAATGGACAGAGTAACAAGGGGACACAGTTGGAAGTTGAAGACACAGATGAATCACAGGGATGTTAGGAAGTATTTCTTCAGCCACAGAGTAGTCAGGAAGTGGAATAGTATGGGAAGCGATGTAGTGGAGGCAGGATCCATACATAACTTTAAGCAGAGGTATGATAAAGCTCACGGTTCAGGGAGAGTGATCTAGTAGCGACCAGTGAAGAGGCGGGGCCAGGAGCTTGGACTCGACCCCTGCAACCTCAACTAGGTGAGTACAACTAGGTGAGTATACACACACACACACACACACACACACACACACACACACACACACACGACCACGTGGCTCTGTGCTTTGAATACATAGTAAAGTTGCAAGTGGAGAGAGTAACAGGAGTTGAATGGGAAAAGCCTGACTATAAAAGAGGGGACTACATAGGGTTGAGGAACTTCCTGCAGGAGGTTCCGTGGGACAGAGAACTGGCAGGAAAGCCAGTAAATAAAATGATGGAATATGTAACAACAAAATGCGAGGAGGCAGTGGAAATATTTATTCCCAAGGGCAACAGAAACAATGGGAAGACCAGAACGAGCCCCTGGTTTACCCGACGTTGTAAGGAGGCAAAAACAAAGTGCAATAGAGAATGGAAAAAGTACAGAAGGCAGAGAACACATGAAAATAGGGAGATCAGTAGCAGAGCCAGGAACGAGTATGCACAGGTAAGGAGGGAGGCCCAGCGACAGTATGAAAATGACCTAGCATCGAAAATTAAGACTGACCCGAAACTGTTGTATAGCCAGATGAGGAGGAAGACAACAGTCAAAGACCAGGTGATCAGATTGAGGACAGAAGGTGAAGAACTCACAAGAAATGATCAGGAGGTATGTGAGGAGCTAAACAGGAGATATAAGGAAGTTTTTACAGTAGAGACAGGAAGGGATGTGGGAAGACAGCACAGAAGGGAACATCAAGAGGGAATATATCAACAAGTGTTGGATGACATACGAACAACCGAGGAGGAGGTGCAGAAGCTGCTAAGTGACCTCGATACCTCAAAGGCTATGGGACCGGACAACATTTCCCCATGGGTCCTTAGAGAAAGAGCACAGATGCTGTGCGTGCCCCTAACCACAATCTTCAACACATCCCTTGAAACTGGGCAACTACCTGAGAAATGGAAGACAGCAAATGTAGTCCCCATATTTAAGAAAGGAAACAGAAATGAGGCACTAAACTACAGACCTGTGTCTCTGACATGTATTGTGTGCAAAGTCATGGAGAAGATTATCAGGAGGAGAGGGGTGAAACACCTGGTACGGAAAGAGATTATAAATGAAAACCAGCATGGGTTCATGGAAGGAAAATCCTGTGTCACAAACCTCCTGGAGTTTTATGACAAGGTAACAGAAGTAAGACACGAGAGAGAGGGGTGAGTTGACTGCGTTTTCCTAGACTGCAGAAAGGCCTTTGACACAATTCCCCACAAGAGATTAGTGCAGAAGCTGGAGGATCAGTCGCATATAACAGGGAGGGCACTGTAATGGATCAGGGAATACCTGGCAGGGAGGCAGCAACGAGTCATGGTACGTGAAGAGGTATCACAGTGGGCGCCTGTGACGAGCGGGGTCCCACAGGGGTCAGTTCTAGGACCAATGCAATTTTTGATATATGCGAACGACATGATGGAGGGAATAGACTCTGAAGTGTCCCTATTCGCAGATGATGTGAAGTTGATGAGAAGAATTAAATCGGATGAGGATGAGGCAGGACTGCAAAGAGACCTGGACAGGCTGGACATGTGGTCCAGAAACTGGCTTCTCGAATTCAATTCTGCCAAATGCAAGTCATGAAGATTGGGGAGGGGCAAAGAAGACCGCAGACAGAGTATAGGCTAGGTGGACAAAGACTACAGACCTCACTCAGGGAGAAAGACCTTGGGGTGACCATAACACCGAGCACGTCACCGGAGGCACACATCAACCAAATAACTGCTGCAGCATACGGGCGCCTGGCAAACCTGAGAATAGCGTTCCAATACCTTAATAAGTAATCGTTCAAGACACTGTACATTGTGTATGTTAGGCCCATACTGGAGTATGCAG